TTTTTTTTTTTTTTTTTTTTTTGTTTAAAAACTTTCCAAGTGCTTATTTTTATCATTCACAGCTTCTTAAAAAACCAAACATGCACATTAAAAACAATTTAACCCCTTTTCTAGAATTTTGTGAAGGGCGTATCTGATAATGTTATTTCAATCGGAGCTGAGGAAGATGGTCGCCGGTTATAATGACTGGCAAGTCATTTTAAACTTAATCAACATTCATAAATTCAATTCAAGGTCGAATTCAAGTGCAGAGAGTGATAGATAAATGTTTTTTGAGTACGAGAAAACTGCTTATTTCCCTGGGAAAATCCATTTAGTGGGTAAATCCCAGGGAGTTAACTTTTAATTGTATTACGATCAAAGCTGAATATTTATGTACTACAACTACTTGTAAATTTTAGTCAATGGAGCATGGCAACTTTGGTCGGAGTGGTCTCGGTGTACAAAACCCTGCGGGAACGGGACGAAAACGCGGACCAGAGATTGCAGGGTTCCGTTACATGGCGGCGCAGAGTGTGTCGGAGTATCTATGGAGGCCAGTTTTTGCAACATACAAGAATGTGGAGGTACGTAACCTAGTATATGAATTGCAAGTTATATTTCACGGTGAAAGATACAGCATGCTTAAAGAAATCCATTATTCTTTAAGGCGCTATTCCTATAGGGAATGCCATGAAAATGGAAAGACAGAGGATAGATAATTGGTTTCAAAGATAACTGATAGTATTTATTAAAGAAAAGAAATGAAATATAATATTTTTCATCATTTTGATGTTAATCACATTTAATTACGGGTCCAAGGTGTCAAGAATGAAAAAAGAGTTCCCCGTCCCGCGGGAAATTTTTCCCAAAAAAATGGAGCACTTTTGACTTATGTCAAGAATGCAATACCTTTTAGGTAGGGGCGAGATACTAATTTGAAAAAGGACCCCTCAACCTGTCTGATACCTTCTTGATTACATTTATCTTAGTATTGAGTATGAAGATGGTTTAATATGTTAAAACATATTTGCATAAAGCATATGGTAGAGCATACCACCTTTGAACGTTTGTTGTAACTGTGTTGTATCTTTGTTTACGTGCTTTTGGCTATTGGTCACATACATGTATAAGTGACCAATAGTTTGATCACAATCTTCGTCTCTGCTGCTTGTAGAATAACATAGAATCATAAAAAAAGTATTATTATTTTCTTTTACAACTGTCGTTGTTGTAAATTTAGCGGCGGAACATGGCCATGTTTCCATCGTAATTGATTTAGCCAGAAAGTTCAACCGACGTCACCGGACCGAAGAATAGATTGTGTAGGGATAAACAGCGCGCCGTGGAATATCATACAAATGAGAGGGCAATATGGCCAAATCCGACCCGAGAAGGCAACGCTGTCCATTTATTATAGTAAACCGAATTATCTATTAACATATCGTAGACAGAGAGTGGCAAGGTAAATTACATTCATGTACTAGTAGTGGCTGAACAACAAACCACGAGTCCCCCCACTGTTCCTGATCTCACACACGATGACTTCATAAGTCAGTGATGCAAACAATCCAATATTTCAATGACATCACTTCACGTGACAGTGCCGCTCCTTGAAACAAATTTTCCATATAATAGATTCTATATAAATAATACTTAAGAATGCCTTTATTCTGAATAATAATAAAGAGTTTTTAACACACCAAATTTTACCGTCCCGCTTTACTCAGTAAGCATCGGTGAATATGACCGAGTGACGAATTATGTAATGCTCAGAGTGCATGGATATGTTATGAGGTATACTGTTGAAGCTTGCGTTATTTTATAAAAACGATCTTCTGGTAAAGCCAATTAACCTGGGAACTTGGCCATATTGGTTAACTTAGAGAGCATCCAAAACCAGTTGATCCACTGACTAACTGATGGCGTGACCCACTTGAAAGCGTGTCCAAATTTAATTCACTCTGCCCTTGTTGGGATGGCGGGCGTGGGAGGCAGGAACCCATTGTCAAGTGCGTGCCATTTTTGATCCTCGGTCTAGTTAGTCTGCGGATCAGCTGGTTTTGAATGCGTCCTTAGTGTCACCCCTAGTCACTTAGTTCTTGACTGTGCTTTTACAAACACATGTATCGATGCTCACCCAAAACAATACCTCATTTGTTAAATAAGTGCACAGCCCATTTTAAAGCTTCCGTCAGAAAACTGTAATTATCAAAGTGGAGAAGAAAAAAAAAACAGGGTCCGTAATGCACTTAATGTTGATACTTCCTACAGAAATGTTACTATGATCAGGACTGTTTAAATGAATCGTTTTTCGTTTTGAATGAAGTGATTGTATTAAAAATGGCACAAAATATCAAATCTAAGAACAAAGACAGGTCATGCAATAATTCACTAGGAGAATATTTCTCGAAGAAAATTATTTGAGCGAAAATCCCATATACTACAGTGTATACCCTTGAGTTGCTAAAAGAATTATTCTCCTAAAAGAGGTATCAAATATCTGGATCATTTTATGAGTACGACAACTAATTGGTTTTAGTGAATGGCACGTGGCATGAGTGGGAGTCATGGAGCGCGTGTAGCGTCAGTTGCGGTGGCGGGAGCAGAAATCGCACACGCTCATGCTACGGGCCTTTTTTTGACGGCTACCCCTGTGAAGGACCGGACTCGGAAACTGGAAACTGCAGTGCCGCCCCTTGCCCAGGTAACTTTTAACATAACATGTATATATTTTTCAACTGAGAAATAAGACACACATGATACAAATAAAATTTGCTATGACCTGCAATTTTGTTGTTGAAATAATCTATTTATCGGTATCCACTTGCTCTTTGATTTCTCTTTGAGGTATACTTTCCGCCCATCAAGGGCTTAAGTATTTTTAGTGAAAGTTTTTTGTCGCCATTTGACGTTATAAACCTACAAATGCAATCGACAATAGATCAATTGAATTCAATTAAGCTAAAATACCTTAATGTACGTACATTAGTGGATGGCGAGTGGATGTCATGGAATTCTTGGGAACCATGCAATGTCACCTGTGGGAACGGGAATCAAGTACGCTCTCGTGAGTGCAAAGAACCTCAGCACGGTGGCGCCCTCTGCATTGGTGACGTCACAGAATTGCGATCATGTAATCCTCAGCCTTGTCCAGGTAAGATGTGATTTGAATGAATTTTCTGGAAAATAATAAAATCCAGAGATAAGCCAAGAGAGAGATATTCACAAAACTGCATGGGAATGGGAATTTTTATAATGATGAAAATAACACAATGCACTTTTCCGGCCTAGAATTACTTTATATTATCTATATCTGCACGTCCACGATACTGGGTAAAAACATCTGGACATGGGCATCAAAATTTCAACATGGCGACGATCTTGTGAGCACGTTTTCCGCTTAGAATATGCATCGAATTTTGCTTTATATTAATAAATTTTAGAAAATGTAACATTAAGCCCATTAAACAATTATCAGGAAAGAGTACACTTAACTTCACAAAGACCAGGCCTACCCAACTACCAGACTCGGCACCGAATGATCCTGAATTCACCGGTATATCGAACCACAATACCCGTTTTCAAGGTGTGTATCAGTTCGCGCTTCGAAGTATCAGACGAGACACCGCTCTTACCTAGTTCGCGATGTGATGGTGATGATTCTCAACGGGGTTGGAAAGTATTGCATCACCTCTCAAAATTTGTTCGGGGCATGATACTGTGAAAAGCGTACTGACGCACACCTTGAAAACGGGTAGTGGGGTCCGATCCACCGGTGAATTCGGGATCATTCGGTGCCGAGTTTGGTAGTTGGGTAGGCCTGAAGATGGGAAAGCACGCTGCGATCCTAAATCGGCGGTTAAACAGCGTTGACATGAAGTCATCTCTTGTGCGCACCCTTTGCGCTTAGAACATGCATTGTATTTTGCTTTATAGTCATAAAATTTTGAAAATGTAACATTTAACACATAAAAATTATCATAAAGAGTACACTTAACTTGAATCGGCAGTTAAACAGCGATGACATGAAATCGTTTTTCGTGAGTTACACGCCAAAAAGTGGAAACCGGATATAGCTAATTTAATTAGTCTCGTTTAATATTCATGTGACCGGGTCATTACGCCATCATTGGAATTCTCCACTATTTACGTCCCTGAATGTTATGGGGAAATGAAACTACACGCCAGCTGTGGTTTCGCTGTCGTGGGTTTCTGAAGGAATCGAAACAGGAATGGGTCATAACATTTGTGATTTCCCGCTCAAATGACAGGGTTTCCTTCGGTTTGTTGTTTTATGAAAAGCAGCGTGTATTTCAGGTATTTAAATCCCGAAATTGAACGATTTGTATAGTTCGCGTGTTTGGGAGATTCATGCTTTGTACTGAAGTTGAAAACAGAAATGATGGTAACGTACAATAGCCCGTTTTTGTTGACCCATCAAAATTTGCGACGAAGAACAATTTGTGTATTTCTCTAGTGTGTGTGCCGTATATGATCCCTGAGATGACCCAAAACGTGACAATACTATTCTGAGAGCTTTCTTTTCAGCTGGAAAACAGACTGTACATGTATGTCTGTGTCCCAGATTTAAGGGCTGCTTGAGTGTCAGTTTCGGCCAAGAATTAAAAAGTTTAAAATACACAGGAATGTTTGGAAACACACAATTGTTTGTTATAATAAGACAATATCTATCCCCTTACACATGAGATCACCCCCATTAATTGTAATTCAACACACAGGAATATTGACAGACTTTCAAAGATGATAACCAGTATCGTGGACGTGCATATACATACGTGTAGTCATTGCTGAATGCTCACCTCATGGTTAAGGGTTTTGTGTGGTAGAACTTCCAGAACTGTTTGATTTCAAACATGCTTCACGTCGACCTTTGCAGTTTCTTTATCAAATCCCATTTACTTTTAGGCGTCACCCTTTATCCCTCACGAAAGCTAAACATTTTGTTCTACACACCCCAATAACCAAACCAGCTTTATACCCAACACTAGATAAATGTACCAGTGGTTAGAAAGCCTATATGTGGCACTTTTTACTTTGATACTTTTACTTCTCCTTCAACTGACAACCCAATGGCCCTTGCAATGGTCGTAGGCCTAACTTTGCAACACTATAAAATATGATAAGTGCTTTTACGTCATGGCCAACCTCCTCTCGAACAGTTGACGGTTACTGGTTGCCGTGGACGGAGTGGGACAAGTGTACTCACACCTGTGGGGGCGGGTCCCAACGGCGCGCCAGATCCTGCGAACCTCCCCTGCATGGCGGGCGGCAGTGCGAAGGAGAGGAGGCAGAGAGCAGACAATGCAATGCCGAACCTTGTGCAGGTAAAATGTGATTTTATTAATATTAAATTGTCATTTTTTCTAAGCTGTGAAGGGAGGGGGGGGGGTGCAAAAACTTGTACTTGTTATCTTTTCAGGGCGTCTGTCCAGACTCATTTTCTTTGATTTTTGATTGTTTTTTAAATTTTTATTCAAAATAAAATGTGTGGTTATTTTATGTCAGCAGAAGTCTAATTTTGACTTAAATATGCATGGGTGCCCGGTCAGAACAGCTTCCGTGAAGTACCATCTAATGATTTTATAATCAATGATAGCGAATATTTACCATTTTTGCATGCAAACCCTAACAGTAAACGGTTACTGGGAGCAATGGGCCGCTTGGACAAACTGTAGCGTCTCGTGTGGCGGTGGATTTCAGTCACGCCACAGAAACTGCACTCCACCGAGGTACGGCGGTGCGGAATGTATTGGAAAAGCACAGGAAGAACGCAACTGCTCAACTCAGCCATGTCCAGGTGAAAATACATGGTGTATAATATCGTCTTGGTTTGAATCGAAAACAAAACAAAACAAAAGGGGAAACGTTGGCATTTGAATCACGTGCAATGTTTTTTAATGACAAAAGTTGCAAATAAAATTCCCTTTGACACAGCAAAAATCTTAATGTTATCTAGGAAACACACGGTGTCACGCATTGTTTTAGATAAAAAAAGGTGAAGTTGACATTTGGCTTGTAAGTATCCTAAAACGTGCTGAATTCATTTTGGTGGAGTGTCCCTCACAATCAAATAACCACCTTTGCCTATACTAAATGTCTTGTATAAGTTAATGTTATAAAAACATTCTCAATACTATTCACGGCTACAAAGAGGTGTTATTTCAAACTGTCCGCAGTTGAAATACTGTTCAAAAATTAGAATTGTGGGCGACTGAGATGAAAATAAAAAAAGGAAGACAACGATATGCATAGATGAGTGCTCGGTCAAGGCAGCTTCCGTGAAGTTCCGTCTAATAATCAATGATAGTGAATGTATAACTATTTTTGCATTTCATCCCTCACAGTAAATGGTTACTGGGAGAAATGGTCCGCATGGACAAACTGTAGCGTCTCTTGTGGCGGTGGATTGCAGTCACGCTACAGAAACTGCACTCCACCGAGGTACGGCGGTGCGGAATGTATTGGAAAAGCACAGGAAGAACGAAACTGCTCCACTCATCAGTGTCCAGGTGAAAATACATGGTGTCTGATGTCTTCTTCGTTGGAAGCAGAAAAAGGCGTTTATTGAGAATGAATGCTGTTGTATTAATTTCGGAAGTCTGGGTGTGTGAATGGTATGTGCAATTTAGCCTTAAAAGATGATCTCTGGCTCTCGTTCATGACAGACACCTTTTCATCATTCTCGGGCAAAATACTTAAGATTTCACCATATTAACATGTTCAGTGAAAGGCAGTTATTTTAGTGAAACCGTTTGTTTCCAGTCGATGGCGAATGGACAAGTTGGTCCAAATGGTCAGAATGCAGCGCCACCTGTGGAGGCGGGAATCAAACCAGAGAGCGAGCATGCTCTCAGCCTCTGTTTGGTGGAATACATTGCCATGGCAACTCCACAGAAATTAGGGACTGTGGGTTGAACCCATGTCCAGGTAGACGTCAACTGGACGCCATGACTTCATTTTCTTATTCTCAAGTTTGCTCTCCAACCTTGCCTCTTAAGGAATGGCTTTATCTGTTGCAGATGCCGAAAGAGGAACAGGGGGTCAAGATGGTTGTGCTTCTTTGACTCCGCATACAGTACATGCGGATATTTGCTTACTTCTCTCCAATCTCTTGCTGAATAAGCCGACTCTTCAATTGTATGTCCTCGCTGTGGTGTTCCTCTGGACTCTGCATGGACTTCCATTTTATCAACTGCACTGCTTTAAACTTCATGCCTTATTCCCACTGATTATGTCAGTCCTCTGAAAAAGACAGTACGCACCGTATTTTTCTTTTTTTTTTTTAATTATTTCACTTATTACTGGTTCTTTAACTATGAGCTTCTCCTGCTTTGAATGTTATGAAATATTTGGTAATTAGAGCTGGCGAATTAATAATTGGTTCTTAAAGCATGTGCTTCTCCTGCTTTGTGTGTTATTTAATATTCGGTAGTAATCAAAGGTTAAAATACATATTCCGGAAAATAGTTAATGGATATTACGATTGTTAATTGAAATTGCATTGCAACGGGAATTGATTTTAAATATCTTCATAGATTTGTGAAGTGATATACTGTTCAGATGCTCTTTTTTTCAGTGGATGGAGTGTGGGAACATTGGGGGGAGTGGCAAGGGTGTGACTTGACCTGCGGTGGAGGGAAACAGAGACGCAGGCGTCGCTGCATTCCAGGTCAACATGGCGGACGTGACTGTGAAGGGTTGGACGAGGAAATTCGTGATTGCAATGAAATGCCCTGCCCAGGTAGGGTAAAACATGGGGTAAAATGTAAAATGAATCTGCAAAAATTCAGCGGAAATTTTTCAAAACAATTTCATATATAGATCCTTTCATGAAAATTATCTCTGTACCGGTAACTTAAATCCAAGACATTCATGTTCTACAAAGGCCGTTGCAAAAATTAAAGACGAGAATAAAAGGGATAGAGTCCGAAGAGCAGGATATAATAAAACAATTTATCATTTTTAATTATGTGAAAAGGATCGGTTTTTGTATTAATAATGTCCACAACATCATTTCCTATTACATCATTTATACTGCGCATACTTCACTGCACATTAATTTTTTTTCATTTTTATATAAAAAATACATACATACATACATACATACATACCGGTACATACATACCGGTAAATACTAGACTATATGCTTCAAAATATACATCCGGCTGTAGAATGGTTCCATTAATTGATTAACAAATTCTGAACTTACTACTCACAGCGCCAGGGATGTGGACAATTTGGTCAACTTGGGGCTCCTGTGACGCCATGTGTAACGGGGGATATCAAATCCGGTACCGGAACTGTGACGCTACAATCGGACTCTGTGAGGGAGAGTCACAAGAAAGAAGAGACTGCAATGTAGATCCTTGTCCGGGTAAAATATTCTCTCTCTCTCTCTCTCTCTCTCTCTCTCTCTCTCTGTGTGTGTGTGTGTGTGTGTATGTGTGTGTGTGTGTGTGTTAGAATCAACAAATCAAATCAACAGTATTTATGCAGTCTAAGAGCAGAACTACAGCATTAAGTTTGGGGTCGCAAAATATTGGCACAAATCAAACTAATACCGATTCTATTTTTGTCCATTTGAAAAAATTGAGCGCGAAAAATATCTGATTTGCTCAAAATTCAGGTCGTCCTTAATTTTGTCTGGGTTATCCACGCTCTTTTTCTGTCATAGAATGACAGCCTCTTTTTCTTTACCACAGAGGACGGTGTTTTCATGGACTGGTCTACCTGGAGCATTTGTAGTGCCAGCTGTGGTGGTGGTAGCCAGAGACGATCCCGCGAATGTGACGGCCCTAGATACAATGGCAGAAACTGCACGGGACCTTGGGAAGAGGAGCAGCCCTGTAATACACGACCTTGCCCAGGTAAAGTCAGTGGGGCCCAATGGTTGCAATACACGCTGGATTTAACATTAAACACATCTAGTCTGATATGCTTTTGGTAGATTGTTGTACTCAAAATACTAAGTGGATATTTTTCACATTGCACAGCCTTTTTTGATGGTCTTGACACGATGGTTAAACAGACTCCATGAGCCTTTATTTCTAGATACATGTGTAGACCAATAGCCTACTCTGACGAATAACGAATTGATACCCTGCACAAACAGTACAATCCTAAAAATCAAAGAGACCGTTAGTGGGATTTTTGTGGATTCAAACTCTGTGCTCAATACAAAGCATATTACAACCCCTGAGCAATTATTAATGCCTCCTCAAAGACAATGCATCATCCAACGTGAAAAGAATTATTTTCTTGAAGAAGTATCGAATGTGATCGATAAGAATTTTTTAATAAGTTCATGTCGTTAGTAAAGCATCAAAAGCTTTAAACTTCTTTTTGTGCCACAAAAATCCCTCAAATGATCCCGTTGATATTTTCCAGTTGATGGTTACCTCACTCAATGGTTAGAATGGACGGAATGTAGTGTGGCGTGTGGTGGTGGTTCACAGGAGAGAAATCGCACGTGTGTAGAACCTCAATATGGCGGCCAATCTTGTCATGGCGAATTACATGAAAACAGATCGTGCAATATCCGAAACTGCCCAGGTAGACTTTTAAAATACACTTAAATAAAGGATAAGCTTTTTTTAAAAAAAAATTATCACCGTAATAATTCTTAAAGATAATGCTCACAATAAAGACATTGTTAATATTTAAAAGATTATGAAGATACACAAAAGCACAGGTGTATTTTTTAAAATAAGTTTACTTCAGATATGTACACCTAAAATCACATGACAAACGTCACAATTAATGTCACAAACAGCTAACAGAAAAAGAAAGAAATGAAATATTAAATTAAAGGAAAACAGAAAAAAATAGACAAGAAGCGAAAAAAGAATAAAAAATGCAGGATCGGGCCTTGGGTGGTATCTAATGCAGTGTCTTAAACGCAGCGATATCTAAATGCTGCCTGCGCAGACGCTCAGACGTAAATTAATACTTACAGTTGATGGGTTCCTCACTCAGTGGTCGGAATGGAAGGAATGCAATGCGACGTGTGGTGGCGGTTCACAGGAGAGAAATCGCACGTGTGTAGAACCTCAATATGGCGGCCAATCTTGTCATAGCGAATTACGCGAATACAGATCTTGCAACGAACAACATTGCCCAGGTACATTACATGAAAGCATAACAAATAATGCTTGATTAGCAGTCAATTTATGGATCTTTTGCGTTGAAAGTAATTAATAATAAGATGCATGGCAAGTTAATTCTAGTGGAAAGGGAAGGGATGAAAGGGCGTCTTCGAAAGGTTGGTTACACCTCATACAGCTCTGAAATATTTAAACCCCAAACTTCTAATATCTGCATTTCAATCCGCTTTATGGTACGCCACAGTTTGTTTTTATGCGTTTGCTTTTAACAAAAGGAATACCATTAGTAACAATTGTCAGGGAGAAAGGGAATCAAGTTGTAGTAGACATGAGTTTGTTTGGGGGAGGCGGGTATTCCGGCCCTTAGTAATTCTGTAAAAGCATAATCAAAAGCAAACTGCAATACCCTCTTATGGACACTGATTCCGTCCGTCCGTTGGGGAAAAAGTTAATGCGTATACATCTTAAATATTACCTATTTAACATGGGTATGCTTTTCCGTTTGGAATTTCGCTCTTTTTTTGTCAGTAAAAAGATAAATAAACCAACAAATGTACATGTAGCGTTTCCAAATGCACCACAATTTGACGCATCGTGTGCACGCATTTCAAATCCACAAGCATGCATTTTATCTTTAGCAAATACATTTTCAGTTGATGGGTTCTTCACTGAGTGGTTAGAATGGACGGAATGCAATGTATCATGTGGTGGCGGTTCACAGGAGAGAAATCGCACGTGTGTAGAACCTCAATATGGTGGCCAACCTTGCCATGGCACCTTGTACGAATCCAAGTCTTGCAATAGCCAACACTGTCCAGGTAGATTAGTTCTTTTCGCAATTTTCTCTCTAGTTCGAGTCTTTTAGACTTTATCGGTCACTTAGATCTATGATCTTCAGCACCTCTGGCATGCAAGTGTACTAGCATAAATAATCTAAAAGGAAAATTGCAATCAACTATTATTATCATCCCCGCACCTCATCTTTATTAATTGTGTGCCTATGTGTCTTATTAAAAACCCTTATCCATCGTATTTTCAAATTGTCTCTGTATCATCGCAATTTGTGATTTACGCATACGGTGTATGCAGGTATTTGTAAAGCGTACTTTGAGAGTATTAAACTAAAAACGAATTTCTGACTATTTAAGTACCAGCTTCCATGAAAAGAAAGAAGCACGTTTTATAGATAAACTAATTTTTACTTACATTATTTCTGTACGTTTTCAGTGAATGGTTACTTCACTGAATGGTTAGAATGGACGGAATGTAGTGTGACGTGTGGTGGTGGTTCACAAGAGAGAAATCGCACGTGTGTAGAACCTCAATATGGCGGCCAATCTTGTCATGGCGAATTACATGAAAACAGATCGTGCAATGTCCAAAACTGCCCAGGTAGACCTTTAAAATCATCATATGAAATGCAAAATGCAAAATAAATAATAAATAAGAGAGCTACCTTAATATTAAAAATAGGTTGAAGCCATTTGTCGATACAATGATAGCATCTTTACCATCGCTTTTCCTCTTTAAACTTTTAAACAGTTTTGTTGTATGAGATCAGATGTGAACCAGATAAGAAAATTCTTTTTAGCCTTTTCGAACGTGTGGGGTTGTTTACACTTACGGTAAATTTATATGAGGAACGTCTTTTTCTTGCCGTTTAGAACATAACGATAAGTTAATGTTTTAGATTAAAAGTTTCAAAGACACCATACCCCTGATATGAACAATGATCCCGCATGTTTTCAGTTGATGGTCACCTCACTCAGTGGTCGGAATGGACAGAATGTAATGTGACGTGTGGTGGTGGTTTACAGGAGAGAAATCGCACGTGTGTAGAGCCTCAATATGGCGGCAAATCATGTCGAGGCGAATTACGCGAGACAAAAGGTTGCAATGATCTGCCCTGTCCAGGTACATTTTCAATATTGAATTAATTGAATAACTAGGCCTACTGTTAACTAACTGAACTGAAATATCAATCAAAATAAACCACTTTATTCCTGACAGTTGTCAAACGACAAAACACACATTTTACCTATTTTCACTGCCACATATCAAATGAACAATTGCAACCAGCTTATGCACTACTGCTTACTGTCTTTCCCAGGTGGTGAAAAGTGTTACCAACAACCTGCTTTAAATGTTAGGTAGATCTTCCTGAATCCTTTCCCTCTTCAACCTCTTTAATCGATAAGTCCCTTACTCACTCGCTCGTCAATAATATTTCAGTGGATGGGTTTTATACCGAGTGGTCACCATGGAGTCAGTGTCAGGTCAGTTGCGGGGGAGGACATATCGTTCGGACCCGCACTTGTCAACCACCAAAGCATGGCGGTCTTCCCTGCCAGGGCGCCGCAACGGAAAGAGAAACATGCAATGAACACCCTTGCCCAAGTAAGAATATTCATTTTACATTTATGACACTGTGACAACTTAGACTATTAAATTTTCCTTCAACTACCTCATTAATTACTTTGTCAACGATTTCAAGTCTAATACTATACATTATATATGTTTATTTGGTTACAATGCCTGCCATCCGAATAATTCAACACGTTTAGTCACATACAAGTTTGAATCTTGAATAAAGCAAATAAATCTTTGATATGTTTTTGCAAACAAGTACATGGATATTTCACTGAATGGGAAAACTGGAGCAACTGTAATGTAACTTGTGCCGGCGGGACGAGGACTAGAAATCGGACCTGTGTGGGACCTTTTCATGGAGGAGATGACTGTCCAGGGACATGGGGGGAGATGGAACCCTGCAACGAACAACCGTGTCCAAGTAAGTAACGTCAACGTGTCATTACTTTGTGCTGCGTTGTTTCTAAAGAACACGGCACGGTGTAAAACGTGCTTAGGCAATACATTACGTTATCTGGTTTGGCAAAAGTATGTAATCGTTCCATATTTAGGATCCAGGCGCAGTGAGGGCAGCCTTCTTATTTGTTCTCTGGAACCGCCATGTTTTATATATTCGAACCAGAACCAACGCAGAACGTATGCATGTGTGGAAATTGTAAAAAGCAATTTAAAAGTTTTTACAATGGTTTGACACAGAATTGGTATAACTGAAACATTGTTAACCGTTATTACACAGAGTAATTACACATCATGTGCATCGGATGGCTAACTGAAATCAGTATTGAGTACAGCACCTGTGCTATATTTTATGGGTGAATTTGGGACGATGAAAGCCAAGATATGTATATGCACAAACTATTTTGAGTGCATATTGTGTGAAAAAGAGACAAAATGCTAGAATTATCTCTCTATACTAAACGTACTTTCGACTTGGGAGTTCAGCCGCCTTGGATGTTGACGCCTTCCTGATGGCACCAATATTAGTATTAAATACTATAAGAACCAGTGTATACTGCAGAATCATGGTACGGTATGTGCTGAAACTACTTGTCACTTTCTTTTGTATTTTTAAATATCTTTAAAGTTGTTTCCAGGATAATGCAAAATAAACTATAGATTTATAGCCCCTCTCGCTTTGTCAGTCCCATTGAACTCACCGTTTTTGGGCCAAATTATTGTATGACGGGTAGTGGCGGTTTCAATCTAGTGATGGGTGTTGGCCAGGTCTCATTGGCCTGGAACCTCTACTAGATTGTGCATAGAATGTTCCACATTCAGTACACGATACACTCCGTTCTCGGCAGACGCATCTCCATTTACTGTAGGTGTTAAAGTAAGCATTTTATTTTGATTATAAGTTTTTAAATGAATTTTTTAGTGTTCATTATGCTTTTTAAAAATTCAAAGCGTTCAGTATTCAGTAACGATGCAGATTTAATCAGGATAATTTCATGTTGTGAATTAGTCCCATGTCTTTTCACTCAAAGCTTCACTATGCTTTGCCTGGTGTATTTCATTGTATTATAAGGGGTAACCGTTTGTAATTGTATTTTAAAACTCTATATTTGATCGCAAGGCAGCTTTTTAGTTGAACACGAACTAATTCTAATTTATGTGTAAAGTGATATCGTTTAGGAGGGTTAGTGTCAGCGAACCTTTTGTTAGTTCTCGTTTTCAGGTCATAGCGTATCTGAAGCACGTATTTCAGTATACTTCGCACATTTTAGCCGCTGACACCACTTATTGTAAGAACTAACCTTTGTTTAACCTAATAACGTAAATGTTCTTAAGTTCAGTTCAAAAACATTCTTTAAAATGTCACACTTCTAATACCGTAAGTAAGGATACCGCAAGTTCTTACTTTCAATATAAGAATGTTCCAAATAATGTCATACTTGCAATACCGAAAATGACTTAAGTTTTAGACAAAATGGTTTCGTAAAATTTTACTTTGGGATTTACTAGTGTTTTTGATTATTCTGCAGTACCTTTGTAATTTCCTTTTTTTAAGTTTTTCAAATTTAAAGTGACTACATCACAACAAGGCGTGTTGTGTTGTAGTGATATGCTGTATGATGTCATAAGTCAACGGTCAGAACATAGTAAATGTAGTTACTCTCTTCAAATGTTTGTATGATTCCCTGTAAGCATGCACAGTCGTTTAAAGTTTAAGATTGTGCACATTTAAATTATTACCACGTGTGCCAATTCCATACTTCCTGTTTGTATTTCTATATGTACTTGTTACAGTTCCAGAATGGACTTCGTGGAGTTCTTGGAGCCAATGCAGCAAAACATGCGGGGTAGGAGTTCGGTATAAAACCAGGAGCTGTACCATTTACAACAAGTGTGAAGGCAACCCGGTCATCCACATCAAGTGCAACGTTTTCCCTTGTGAACCAGGCACGTTATTAATGTTTATCTAATTAATTTTTATCTAATAATTTTTTTCAATTTACGGGTAAAGTTTGGTATATTCACGACACTGATACGTTTTAAGTTTGGAAATTTCTCCAAGTAAAGGTCCTTTAGGTATAACGCTCGGACATACATGTAATATGCATCCAGGAAACCATGAGCGCTTATTACCCTTCCTGTCCATTCCAACGGTACTAACGAGTTGCTTACCTTGTATCGTGTTTTCTGTTTCTTACAACAGCTATTTCGTGTGACCAGTGGAAGAAACGTGGTCTCTCTGAAAGCACAGAAACTTTTGTGGACCCCGACGGCCCCGACGGCCCGCTGGAACAGTTCCCGGTGTTCTGCAACCTGACAGAAGATGCATCTTACACGGTCATAGGTAAGAATGCATGGAAGCAAAGGACACGATTGGAGTCCGCCAGGCGTCCCCATTTATTGCAATTGAAATATATTTTGATGGCAGTTCAAAGTTTAAATAGCAACTAATTATTTTCGTTTTGTATTTATTTTGGGTCCTGCATATAGGTAGGAATGTTTAGATGATTGAATTCTGACATTTTGCTGTAATATTGCCATAAAATGCTGCCATTATACGATGAGTACAATATTTACAATTAGACGAAAAAATTGCAAGGTATAACCATTTCGTTTCTGTATCTCGTTAGGTCATGACAATGAAGGTGAGAACCACATCCAAGGGTTCGAAGGTGCTGGAGAGGGATTCCGTTATGTTACCTACAACAAAGCCTCTGTGCAGCAAGTGGCAAAACTTGTCGACGTTTCACAGAACTGCCAGCAATACCTCTCGTGGCAATGTTTCGGAGCAGCCATTCACCACCCCGAGAAGAATATGACCCTAACGTACTGGCTTACCCGGTCACTGGAGATGGCCAACTATTGGTCTGGTGCCTCCCCGGGTAGTGGTATGTGCGAGTGCGGCATGACCGGATCTTGCGTGGACAACTTGAAATGCCATTGTGACAAGAATGACGAGACTTGGCGAGAAGACTCCGGGCTGGTAACCAACAGAGCCGATCTCCCCATTACCGGTGTCAAGATTGGCGATACAGGTAGCTTTTACTGTTCGATGGCCCGTAGGAACCCTACACGTCACTTAGATCAATTTTTTATTAGTTAAAGTAAAGTTGTAATGACGCGACATAAAACATTACGTTACTCTTCAGTGTCATGTTACTCTTTTTCGTTTAAGTAGACTGGAGAGGAGTTAAGATTTTACACGATGCCCATGACCGCAGTCGCTTCACGTCTTCTTTCGGGCCTTTTGGTATATATATAGACCTTTGTTTGTTAAGAAGTTTTAGCTCGACCGTTATCAAGATCTAAACAAAAATGCTATGGTTTCTACAAAATTGCATTTTTTAAAACTGTGGTTGCAAGTGGCTGGTTGCAAGTGGCGTAGATCACCATTTGTTTATGCAGTCATAATGATAATAATAATAGTATTCATAATTTATTTTAAAATACAACAAAAAAATTAACACGTATAATGCAAATACAACTGAATGTTGAAGGATATATGAGAATCAATCTAAGTTATTATATATATAAGGTTCATATATGCTATTAAAATACTTGAACGTAAAAGGTTTATATGTCACCATCAAAAGGTAGAATCTAGGCCTAATGTAGGATAAATAAGTACGTTAAGTTTCCAGTTTGGGTAAAATAAATTCTCACTTTTACAGGAAGTTCATACCAGCCAGCTCATCATGTGCAAGAAAGAGGTGTTCTGACTATTGGTAAATTGATTTGCTTTGGCTAATCTGACAAGGAAGAAAAGGTCCGTATGCGATTGACTGAATTGACTCAAAATTGCTGACTGTTCGGAGACCCCAGGGATTCTCTTGTTACAAATACAACCTTAAGTTTTATTCTCTCATTGAATCTGATTTCACTGTATGAAATAGGAAAACTTACTTGAATCAAATTTTATTGTATTCGACTTAACAATACTTGCAAGAATTTCATACAGGCTAAAATGTTTTATGTCTTACAAGGGATCGTTTAGACTCTACACAAAGCTATGTACGAGCACAGTCAATTTAAACAGGAATCTCAACACTGGCAGTGTGCTTACGACGACATCCACGGAGATGTATAATGCATGTTCGTTAATACAATGAACTATATAGACACTGATTGTAGGATCTAGGTTCATAAAACTTTGTGATTACATTCATCCACGTAAAAAACCAGCATATACATTTCTTTACTAAGAAGCGACTACTAATGGCACAAAACCCACATGTGGATAAACATTTAATTTATTGAAAATAACCCCTCATCATAACGTTGGGAAAATACAATGTTTATTTGCACACGCAATCATTTTGTTAAACACTTTTTTAAAGAATTGGATGGTGGTGATAGTGATTGTGGGCAAAGAGGCCTATTCAGACACACAAGGGTATGCTTATATTCTGAATCTTCGTTCTTAGGCCTTAACGGGAACTTCCGTAAGCTGCCATCTGTTGTTAGTAAAACAAAGGCTGACAATCGATAAATGCACAATTAATTAGCAAATGTTCACCACCTAAGCGTTTCATAACACCCGCGTAGATGTATCATTGACAGATACTCGGTTGATAATGAAAGGACGGGAAAAAACTTGACAAAATACGAATGTTATATATCATGTTTGGAACGATAAGAGAAAAGGGGCACATACTGATAAATAGATGAGAATAACCGTGAATGCAATGTAACTTTATGACATCATAATCAAGTCCAAATATTTCTTAAATGACTTGATCATTTTTGATGTACATATCAACCAAATATATAAGACACGGCTTGAGGTTGTCACAGATCACATACCCTGGCGTATGAAGTGGACGCGGATCGGTAAAATTTCAACGTCTGCTAATCAAAATGAAGAAAACAGCTTTTTGGTGAAACATTCAACATACTTAACCAAGAGTTTAGATGGTTGAAGATGCCCCGCATTGAAATGTTATCAATTGTTCGAAATGATAACTTTTGTAATCTTCCTTTACGATAAAAAGAACTCCCAAATATCCTTCATATAAATAGTTTTTAATTTTTCTGTGTAATATATATAGTAAATTATCTTACATTACACAACTCAACAGAATCATAAAATATAATAAAAACAATATTTCCAATGAAGTAAGATCAGTAATAATATAAAATCAGACTAGCTGGTATTTTGTTTCTGGGTAAAATAGTTCAGTTCCCTACTTTGTGCAGAAAATTGAAAATATTTACTACAAGTAATAGCTGTCATCAAGGTGCTACAACAGATTAATCCAGCAAAATACAGAATATGATGTTGTACTAGACTAGAAATAAGAGCTCTTCTAATACGTATTATACTAAAATAGACACTACCTCTTGCTAGGACCATATCTAAATCTCATCCGAGACGTTGGCTAAAGCAATCATAATATATTCGCATTACTTCACAGTTCAACAACAACAACAACAAAAAAAAAAATCATATTTAAGAGTTCAACAGCCAATATTAAATTTTTGACTACAATGACGTGAAAAAAAAAAGAAGAACAATATAATATATATATTTAAACAAATGCAATTTCTAAGGTATAGCTAGGCAAAGACCCCCTAAGCTAAAAATATTTAAAATGGCAGGAACATGCTGATAATACAGAGGTGAAATTTCCAGTAACCTCTGAAACTTTTGGTGCACAGGGTGTGCTACTGCTGTATTCATATTTGACTGATCCAAATGCATAATCTCTATGTCCTAAGGAATACATAAAAGTTATCAAGAAAGCAATTAAATCTGTTGTCCAAAAATCACACAGAAGGCTAGAAAAGTTAGGCGTCCATATTTGACGCAAAATGCTGGTTTTATTGCCACAGCAATAGCACACCTTGTCCAACCTTATCTGAGACCACTGGAAAATCCATATTATCTTCATTCATTTACTGGAAGCAAAAGCGGCATGCAGATAATGTACAGGTGAGCTTACAGTAACCTCTGGAAATTAGGGCAAATCTGGGTCAAGCAAACGGTTACTGAAGTGGTGGCAGAGTTATTTAAACAATAAAAACATTTAATAAGTAACTATTGTTTACAACTCAAAATGTTGGATATTTACATTCTCAGTGATATTTACAATGTAAAGTCATCCTCAAATTTTCTACCATCACCCTGTTTAGGATTTGTATTATAAATATAACAGGCTAAAAATTAGATTTCACAGAAATCTCACTAGGCATACATTCAGTATAGCAATGTGGCAACACAATGAATTCTGCATATGATAATATGCCTCTGCTCTCTTCATATGTAAATTAAAGAAGTTTCTGGATCAAAAAAAAAAGCTCCTCACATTTGATGAAGATAAAGTTTGAAGCACTTATCACCAAACACACTTAAATGTATGTCATGCTATTAAACATTATAGCCAATACTGTCCTCATTTTAAACCTGATTATTCTTATTGATCCCAGATGAAGTTGTTGCTGTTATTACATTTTCAAAAATACTTCATGATACAACAAACAACAGTTACCTTACTGTGCAAACTATCAAGGTTGGTCATGGCATTAAGACCAGTGTTTATAGATAGCCAATGCAGTACAGGAACCTTGCTCTTGCTAAAAATCAAACCCAATGCTAAGGGGAATGCAGTGTGCTGGCAGACTTGCTTGAAATCTTCCAACACATCCACGCTCTTCTGCCAGTGGAGAGAAAAAAACAATGCACTGCTCATGCTTTGGTTTTTTACTAACAGAGATAAAGAGATAAGATGAACATGAAAATAAATTAAATAATACATACAAATCAGTCTCCGAGACTTCACTACTCATCTGTCCTGCAGAAAAGTCATTACAGGTACCACCGAGCCAAAACCCTTATAACCCACAGTTCACAGAGAACAATGCAACTTCACACAGAAAACAAACAGCCGTCTTCCATTCAATCTCTATGAACTGTCACAGTGGTTCTCAAATATATTCGTCACCTGCAGTGAGACTGCTCCAATAAAATATACCTTCAATACAAGCTAGAAAAAAAAAAGTTCCAAGTCTTCTCCACAGTATCAAAGCTTTGTGTTGACATCCCCACTGATATTATCGCCTGTTTGGGGTCCAACGTGACCCACTTCCAAGTGGTCCACTTTTGGGGAAACTGCAGGTGTTCCATTCCTTGTATCTGATATGTCCGGGCTTTGGCTTGGGTCCCTACTGCCAGTGGTGTTATTTTCTTTCCTGGCACAGCAGGTGTTAGGAAAGCAAGGTTTTCCTGGGCCACACTCCAGTGCGCACGCCCTTCCATTGGCCATCACATCTCCATCATTCCCAGTCTAAAATCATGAATGATTCCATTTCAATATACTGATTGATTTAAACTTCACCATAATTTAAGTTTTTCCTTTCGTTCCATATTTAAATATCTACAGCAAACTATTTCTTTTTAATATCAAATATAAAAACCAAAATCTTTTGTTTATGGTTTTCTTTGTCTCTTCTGAAAGAAATAAACATGGCCAGGACAGTCAAAGGCAAATCAATTTACTTTTTCATGCCATCTTTAATTTACTCCAAATTGCATACCCACCTCCAAAAACTCTGGCTGAATAGTTGTGGAGTGTATTCCCTCATTATGGAAGAACTGTTTGACATCCTCTGCAATACGTTTGTATTCACTGAGGTTCAGGCATTGAATGTGCCCTGTAGCAATGATCCTGTTCCCAGTTAACTGCCACACGTGGAATTCATGGATTGCTAGTACACCAGGAACCTGAAACATCAGTGGATTCAAGGTTAGCCCTCCCAGCCATTTCTCCCCTTTTCTTAGGGATTGCCACTATATTTTTTTTTTTAGTAATCGCAGTTTTTCAGTAATGGGGCATTGCAGTTAAGATCATTATCTGAAGCTGCCAACATCAGAAACTGGCATGATATATGATAGCAATGTGTACAACATGGTGCATCATCAGCAAGTGCTTAATCTGCACTAGGTGATGGCACTAAATTCACATAGCTGACTCTAGGGATCATGAATTATCGCGATATATATACTCACATTTTTAATAAGTTTCTCCTGGATATCCTGTATCCTTATATGGGTTGGGGCAGTTTGCAGTAAAATCAAAGCAGATTCTTTTACTGAAAATAAAATTTAGAAAATTAATGTACTGGTAAATGACAGCCAACAGACCACTGCCAGTCATTAGTAGCCGTATCTTAGAATTGATAATAACCATTAATAAGTACACATTTATAAGCACATTAAGAAGAGGCCTGAAATTGCTTCTAACTTGCAAGAACATTATCCACTTTAATCCCACTTAAACACAAAATGCTGTCATTCAATACTTAGCATTCTGAATACAAGGCAATTCCTATATCCATTTCTGCCAAAACCCTCAACAACATTCCAAAAAAGTTAGATTCTGATTTTCATAAATTTTCTGCAATACTATTTACAGACTCAATGAAACTTGTCTCAGTCAATTTTCATTAGTTAATGAATACTTACACAGAGGTATAGTGGTTGACAGGATAATGCACACCAACAAGATACTGGAAATATAAAGCAGGAGTTAATAACAGTTATCAGTGTACATTTGGTTTCAATATAAATGAACAACGCATAAGAGAATAAAGGTGTATGATATATCATCAAATCAGTTAAGTTGTCTGAACAAAAATAAATGATCAGTACATGAGAGAGAAACAAAGACAGAGAGAGCCAAAATGCATGATCAGTCTCTCTCTCTCTCTCTCTCTCTCTCCCTCTCTCTCTCTCTCTCTCTCTGAGACTCTTGAGCCTTTTTACCTCATTGCTGGGTCAACTTTGTACTTCCAAGACTCATCTTCAACAAACCAGATGACAAGTGCACTTATGATAACAATCACAGATCCCAGGGCATCCCCCAACACATGGAGGAATACACCTCGCATGTTGAGTTGAGCAGCAGAACCTAAAAAATAAGCAAAAAATAAACTATATATATCTCCTGCAATATTTTGTAGATTCTGACTGACTTTTTAGTTTAAAGTGCTTTTTTATGAAAGCACACCACATGTAGCCAATTCTCAGAGATGATGCATAACATAGGTAACGTGATCTTAAGCACAAATATGAACTGGTTCTATAATACTTACTAGCTTTTTTGCCTCCATGCGAGTGCCCATGCCCTCTTTTATGCGCGTGGCCATGATCCCTGCCCTCTGTTTGGCCTGCTTTCATCTCGTTAGAGTTGGGTGTGCCATCTGCGCCTTCCGTAGCTTTCCCATCTTCCACGGACACCACCTCCAGGGGGACATCCGAGTTCAGGGGCTCTGTCACGTCACTGTCTTCACTACTGTCCTCCTCCCCACCACCACCATGTGAGTGTCCTGCAATAATAACACTGAGACCTTCAACTGAGATGATTCCAAAAGTAACCTGACATAGAAACAGGTGAGGAAAAGGAACCGTTAGGTATGTAGTTCATTTTATATGTGGAAAAAAATTATTAAAAACAATAATGCAAAGGCTGACAGTCCACCTTGGGCTGTGACTCGTGGTCTTTTTGGGTAGACAGGGAGATCCATTAAAAGACAATGTGTTGACCTTGACAATTAATCAAAATCTATGGCGATAAATCAGCATTTATCAACAAAAAGAAACATTGGGGCACATATTACAAAACACATCTCCAGTGGATTACATCAAGTTTTTAGATAGTAATCAGTATGAACAGAAATATTAAATTTTGGTTATGACCCTTAGATATAATCTCATTCTCATTATCATGATTGACTGTCAGCCATCAGATGATTGGCTTATGATTTTTTCATTTATATACAGAAGCTAATGAATAGAGAAACGATAGATTGCAGTCACTTTCGCATTACCAAAATTGTTGACTTTATAACCCTCTAACTGGTAATTTTTGAAAAAATGTTTGGAGGAAAGAAGAAATTGCTGAATCAGATACAATCTCACCATTCACAGTGAATATTAACCTGTTGGTAGTCTGCCAGTTAGACACAGTGCTTGGAGTAGACGTTTTTAAAAGCTTCAACATTTACACACACAGTTAATGTCTCTCTTGTCCTCTAAAAGAGATCAGTTAATCTATCTGGCCATTTTGATTGATTACTACAGAAACTACATGGGTGGCATTCTCTATGAATCCATACACAGCTGCTGCTCTGCACTCAAACACACTGGATCATTTTGTGTTGCATCTTTTATCTCTGAGTGTTAATAATTAATAACTGCATTTTACTTTGAATTCAACAATCAGAAATGATCCCACAATAATTGCAATGCAATCTCTCTCTTTGATGGTGTGTGTGTGTGTGTGCGTGCGTGCACACGCCCCCATTTGTGTGTGTGGGAGGGTACATGCATGTCAGTGGGAAACATGCACACAGAATTGTTAGGAGAAGATGTATCATTTATATTTGCAGCAGAGCTGCGTATAATCTGCACTATATATGTAGACAGCAAACATTTAAAAGCCGTGACCAATAAAAATGCAAACAATAATGTGCCTCGAATAGGAACCAGTCGGAGGAAAAATTGATGACCTTTAGCAGACTTGCATAATTTGTAATGCAGGTGTTATATGATACAGGTGTTAGATGTCTTTGATCAAATGGTCTTAAAGTAGTCATTTAGCTTTAAGATTTACTAATAAATATAATTTAATAAAACATATATATACTGAAAATGATCTGATTAGTGTAAAAGAGGAAAAAATCAATTCTAAGACTTCTGTTTCAGATGTAGAGGGGCAATATGATATATTCATTGGCAACCTAGTCCAATGTCATAGTTCTAAATCACTTAGCAGCAGGCAGAAAACCATCAGTCAAACATTCACTGTGCTACATTTACTCACTGTGATATTTAATAGTAATAGGAATGGGTCCCCAAATTGTTCTCTTATATAAACCATTGCATTGCTGTAACAGTGTGACCTCTAAACAGTCACTGATATGCTTGGCATGTCATTATAGTCTGTCCACAATGTGAATACTGACAGGCTTCGTAAACTAGTGAGTCTGCATGTGTGTACATGTGCACTGCATTAATTAGATAATTAATAGCAATTAGTATTTTACCAAACATATCTAATGATGTCAAATTGCTGGACTTATAATTAAGACAGTCACTATAGACTCATGACAAAAAACTAATTTAAAGTAGACATTAACTTATAAGCAAACTTCGGATAACCGAATAACAAATCTGCTATTCAAGTCTTACCGTGACCTCCTCGGAACAAGAAAAGTCCAACGATATTAATAAGAAGTCCCAATCCTCCGACTATTAACATCAATTTGGGGTCTTCAATTTTTTCATTTTCTATCAACCTTTGCAATGCTTCCACAAAAATGGAAAAGCACAAGGCTACAAGAAAGACTGCATTGAAGAGGGCACCCAGCACTTCAGCCCGGGCCCAGCCAAATGTATTTTTCTTTGATGACTTTCTGGCTATCTGTAAAAAGAAAACCAAAAAACTTGCATGAAATACCTGATAAACCTTAAACATGTTATTGTTTATGTTATGTTAATCTGCTATACTATGAATTTCGAAGGTTATACACCCAGTTGTGGATTAAGATAACCTTAAAATCTGACCTTTTCACACTAAGCATTATATTTTAACAATATACCTGCATATAGTTGTATTTTGAGATATTGACAACTCAATAGGCTCTTATGTTGAAAGAATCACCTATACTAGTACCATGTTTGACCAGCCAGTTAATTAACTTCCCCTCAAACAGTAGGAAGGAAAAAAGCAAAAAACTTGTGAAAAGAGTACAATTAAGTTCCTTAGCTGTACCTTGATTACAGAAACAGATAAACAAAAAGAAATATCATTAATTATTTTTTTCAAAATCTAAAAGATTACAGCCACTTGAATTCTTAAAAGGTTGTAAAGCTTAAGCCAGGTATTCAATAGCATTAAATAATTCTGAAGAAGATCTGGAAGTTAAGCATATCAGAGTTCACCTCAACTTGTCCAAAAGAGTTCAACCATAACCATTCTACCAAATCGGTCAGGTATCACTTACAGACCATGACAATTGTTCTCACCGCACAAGGCAACTTAGAGAATACACCCCAATCTAATTCATAAAGGCAAGCATCTATAATATGTCTTTACAAAGCCATTCAAGTTTCCAAACTATGCTACATATAAAATCTCGAACAAAGTAGATGTCTGTCATCAAACAAAAGCAACTGCTTATAGAATTACAGACAGTGGCTTTGAAGCCATACAACATATGCCCTGCTGCCTAAATCTCACTGATCCCTTCCTGACAGTTATGGCTCTCAGCACCCGGCCCAGTGACTAATTAAAGACAGGGCTTGTGCATTGTTCAATAATCATAATCTATGAGATAAAAATATTGGTCATGTCCACAATACTAAAATGATTAACTTGATTCTTCAATGTCCTAAATTTAATAATAGGTATTATAATTTCTGTTAGACCTTTACTAGACCCATGCAAAGATCTTACATGACTGACAGCGTGATGAGCATAGGTAGTGTACAGTGTTTTACTGTGGCCATGGACCTAACTAGAGAAGGACAAGTAACGCGGAGAAAGATCAAAGGATAATCGGCTTAGCGCGAGCTCTTCGCGAAACGATGTGCGTTCGGATCACGTGACCTCCCGTACAGGTAGCGAGCATATCGCGGCTGTTGATGCCTTTTTGTGTCATTTGGACAGGTAGCTGGTGATAACGCGAGGAAAACGTTCGGGTGGATGAGTCAAGACACTTATAGAGATAAAATGTAAGTACAATTTCTTTTGCTATTTTGGATGCAAGATGAGAATAAGGTATGTTTGTTCATGGAGNCGACTTTCTGGCTATCTGTAAAAAGAAAAAAAAATCCTTGCATGAAATACCTGATAAACCTTAAACATGTTATTGTTTATGTTATGTTAATCTGCTATACTATGAATTTCGAAGGTTATACACCCAGTTGTGGATTAAGATAACCTTAAAATCTGACCTTTTCACACTAAGCATTATATTTTAACAATATACCTGCATATAGTTGTATTTTGAGATATTGACAACTCAATAGGCTATTATATTGAAAGAGTCACTTATACTAGTACCATGTTTGACCAGCCAGTTAATTAACTTCCCCTCAAACAGTAGGAAGGAAAAAAGCAAAACACTAGTGAAAAGAGTACAATTAAGTTCCTTAGCTGTACCTTGATTACAGAAACAGATAAACAAAAAGAAATATCATTAATTATTTTTTTCAAAATCTAAAAGATTACAGCCACTTGAATTCTTAAAAGGTTGTAAAGCTTAAGCCAGGTATTCAATAGCATTAAATAATTCTGAAGAAGATCTGGAAGTTAAGCATATCAGAGTTCACCTCAACTTGTCCAAAAGAGTTCGACCATAACCATTCTACCAAATCGGTCAGGTATCACTTACAGACCATGACAATTGTTCTCACCGCACAAGGCAACTTAGAGAATACACCCCAATCTAATTCATAAAGGCAAGCATCTATAATATGTCTTTACAAAGCCATTCAAGTTTCCAAACTATGCTACATATAAAATCTCGAACAAGGTAGATGTCTGTCATCAAACAAAAGCAACTGCTTATAGAATTACAGACAGTGGCTTTGAAGCCAAACAACATATGCCCTGCTGCCTAAATCTGACTGATCCCTTCCTGACAGTTATGGCTCTCAGCACCTGGCCCAGTGACTAATTAAAGACAGGGCTTGTGCATTGTTCAATAATCTATCATATTCTATGAGATAAAAATATTGGTCATGTCCACAACACTAAAATGATTAACTTGATTCTTCAATGTCCTAAATTTAATAATAGGTATTATAATTTCTGTTAGACCTTTACTAGACCCATGCAAAGATCTTACATGACTGACAGCGTGATGAGCATAGGTAGTGTACAGTGTTTTACTGTGGCTAACTTACATAATTAACCACTGCTTCAGTATTGCTTTTTGTCTACAGAGAACTTAAGTAATATTGCTAAATATGCGGGGAGATCATTTTCATACTGTTCATGACTTTGTAATGATGACCGCATGAAATGTATTATCATTCTCAAGGTCATTTATGCATGGACTCTTAAGTGATTGATAATAACTGTGATTTTTTTCTTACTGCTCCCATGCAATATTAGAAATTTGTGGGAGAAGTATATAATGTTACTTTTTGATACTTAACACATAAATGCATTTTGCATTATTCTTTTAGAAAAGTGTACCAAACCAAATAAGATTTATCATCCGATATCTTCCATTGAGCTATTCCATTGCTTACATAGGTTATGCCCACACATACATATCAGCTTACTCATGAATCTAGGGCACAAACCACCAATGAATGCTCTCACTTGTGGCCCAGATCAAACAATTAAAAGAAATATACTACTAGATAAAATACACTACTAAATAAAAAGGCGCACATGCATTATATATATCCTTACATTTCACATGACTTTATGCCAATAACACCAGATTACGGTAATTAACAACATTTCAGTTAACTGATATATTTTATAAGGGAATTTCTTTTTAAACAGAGCAAATAACATTGCACTAATCATCATCAAAATCATCAAGTTCAAATAATTTTCATTTTCATAGTACTTAATTAAAATCAGACTCATACTTACTCTAACGGAAGCCAAGCCAACTATTAATGCAACCACATCAGACAGCATATGAAAAGAGTCTGCTACGAGGGCAATAGAGTTCACAATGTAGCCGACAACTATTTCCACCACAAAAAAACTAAATGTGATGGTCAGCATGCTGATAAGCCGACATGTTTTCCCTGTATATCGACCCATGTTTCAATCTGAAATAATGCAAAAAATAATGCCAGTAAAAATATATTTTATCTGTTACATTTAGTTCAAAGTCATAAAGGTCTTCAGTATTGTCTAGGCTCCTCTGCCAAATTAAACATGTCATAAGCAAATTGTGATAATCTTTTGCCAATATGTGATAATCTTTTGTCATCTGAGGCATCTATGTTCAGACTTATATTTTAACCACTTGTCAGTGTCCTGATTTTGGTGATAGGAAAGGAAGTAAAAATACCATCAACAATGATGAGATAACAGGTCACAAAAGAGATACCAGTGAAGCTAGAGACCCATTTTATGGGTAAAAAACAATCTTTCACGAAGTTTTATGGCCATCCCCAGAACCTAAAAAAAGCTGTGAGCGAACTTTTTCACACATACAAACCATATGAATTCTATGTTTAGACCTAGAATCCTTCCATAAAGTCAAACCAGTCAAGTTTCAATGGCAAGCATTCATTCAACAGTCTAAATATTATCATTTAGGTTTCCTAACCACAAGAAAACTGTCATATCCCTCAGAAGCTTAAAGAAAGCTCACTTCTAACTAGGAAAAAAGTTCTACTCAGCCTAAATGAATGTGAAGCATCACAAAAATTGCAATGGAAAGGTTATACTTAGTGAGTAACATACATGCATGCTGACATACACTAACACACCTGTGCAGACCACATTACAAGCTAACAACATGGCATTATAAATGTAGACATAGACAATCATTTTGTTTTTATATTCATAACCTAAGATAAAGATATATTGGGTTCAACACAAGATACAGCAAATTTTACCAAAACACTTCACATATTTGAATTTGGTTTTACAAAATGTCAAATATTTTACTCACCTTTTTTCCTTTTCTTATATTCATTTTTCCTTTCATTTATTTTTACTTGACAGATATACTGACAGTCAATGAAAGCGCATCAGAAAACTTTCTTGTACATTTTTACCGAGAATTGATTCCAACCATATAAACAAGTACAAATGCACTTGTTTGGTCATAAGAGAGTGGGCTGAACAATATTTCACATTTCACATATTTCACATGTTATTTTCTTAATGTGCCAAAGCAACTTAAAATATTATTTGATAAATAAATGATGCGTTTTCATTGACTGTCAGTATATTTTTTAACTCAATATTTTGATTTGATCTAGGTTATTCAGAAGTTAAACTATGAGAATGTTTATACCAGGTGAGCCTACACTGTATGACATCATAAATTCAAAAGGAAGTTCCCTAATTATAATGGGCATACTTAATCAGAGTACTGCCAATTAACTGATCATTAACAGTAAGTATCCAGCTAGCTTAATACACAAATACATACCTGTCTGATAATGAATAATGAAATGATCTGTGAACCAGTTGCTTAAAATAATGTTAACTGAAAGATAAGAAAAAATAAAATATCACGAACAGAATAATTAACAGAAAGAATTGCATTAAAAAACAAAGAAAACATGACAAAAATTTCCATTAATTTGAAACAAGTTTAAAATCATTGGCAACTTAAACACTCAATTTCAAATATGGATAATGGAACTGAAATCTACCTTGCATTAAAAAAAGCGAATTCAGGTTAATACGCTTGCATCATTCTGTCCTACTATAACCCAGACAATGATGATGTAAAAACACTCTGAAGTGCATTAAAATCTTATCCAGCAACTCTTGGTACATTTCACTCCTATTAGCAAATAGCTTGTTATCAGATAATTGTGTGGCTGAACAAGTCCAGGAACAGTTCTAGCATGCAGTTTTCTGTGAATATCCATACCAGTAAATACATATTACTGAACCAGATGCTAAAAGAGCTGACTTTTTTTTTTTTACACTGACCACATTGAAATGCTGACAGATTGGTTGGATGATTGGATTTGCCCTTGATATTACAGGGCTCTACCACTGGCCCTTCAATTTAAAGTAAACTGTGGGTCCAGTACAGACATATTACACATATTTTTGTTCATCTGACCTGGTCAGCTACAGGTTATATGTGCATAGGGAAATTAGCCTTTATCAAACCTGTCTGAAAATGGATGACCTGCAGACTGTTGTACATACAAGTTATCGTTTATCACACATAAGATTACACTTATCTAAAGTTTCATGTCTCAATCAAATAAACCATGAAACAGCTTCATTTCTCACTGGCTGCCTTTCAAATTTATTTTAATTCAAATATACTACAAATAAAAACATTAAAATATTTACATGATGCTTAAATATAACATTCCTTTTTGAACTTAAAGCCCAGCTCACTTAAAAAATATCTCAGTCATCACAGGTAGGGTAGAGGGCAGGTATATAAGTAAAACAAACAGTTGTTACATAATACCTGTAACCCGATACACCTACCAACTGTTATACAAACAATTCCACATTGAGTAAGCTAGACTGGCTTTGGTCATGCATTGTGTGTTGGTATAGTGTGCAAAACAAATCATTGTGCATAAATGCCACAGACTGGGGCAAACACTCTTCTCAGAAAATTATTAACCTGGAAAAATTTCCTGTAATCAATATTACACTGAATCATACTTTTTGCACGGAGCATGACCCATACGCTTGAATGCAGTTCATTAAATTTGGACAGAGTCATATGCTAAAGCAATATTCCTCTTTCTGAATCCTCCTCATCCTAACGATTTGCAATAATTATACATCTATGCCTAATTTTCTGTTACGTGATTAGAGAAATTCACTTACAAGGTATTTACATTTATACCAGCTATTTCGCTCACTTTATTTGGAAATTTAACTTTGACTCTAGTATTGAATGCAAATCATGCTCTGGGGTTAATTACTTTTCAATCATATTTCTTTTATGTTTTGCAAAAAAAGGTCAATGTTATGAGTTTTATAGACTTAATATACAGAGTACGTACATGGGACATTTTTCTTGTACAATCTCCATTTACAGTCATATTGCTCACTACAGAATATGTGATAAATTACACTTTAAATGCATTTTAATTTTGACAACAGAAGCTGTTAAAAAAGTCCCAATGATGTCATTCAGCAAGGCATCATCCATATGAAAGTAAAAACTCTGATATTCCCAGGTATGACTCTAAAAAACACCAGAAAATACCTAAAACATATAGCATTGTATCCAGTTGAGTTATAAACATTGTACTCTGTTATTTTATCAACATGACGGTGAAGATGTCACCGAACTCAAGCCATTTTAAAACTATTATTCATAAACAATGGTCAGCTGAAACACACGCTATTTCCTTTGTTACTTCCAGCACCAGCTTAACCGCACTCCGTAATCTAGAGCAATGTTCCACGAGTTTCATGCAGTCATCTTTTGTGGTCTGGCATACTCTCTCTCAATAACATAATCATTTTTCGAATAGTTGAATTTACCACGTTATTGTCCTGTCATAAAAATCACAAATTTTCTAGGAAAATGAAAGATCACATGATAGGAACAATTAACGTACCCTACAGCAGCTCAGTGTTTTGAATATTGTTTATCCTTTCACTATCAGCTGATTTCTGTGTCGGCTTCTTTCATAGACGGAAACCAAAATGTAAGACGCTATAACAGCAACAATTAATAAAGAAGATTTAGTTACTTACCGGAACTTATATGATAAATAAAGCTTTTCGGAATCCTTGAACATCCCTTTGCACAATTCCTTTGCACACCATTCACATCACTGCACTCGACACGATAATGGCTGTCGCCATATTTGACGGAAATGACATAAGACCTGCAGGCAGGTCTTACTTAAATAATAATTTTCAGTTAAAAAGTAGCAACCGAACTATGATATTCAAAGATGTGTTATTTTCCAACTCCTTATCAAAGTTTAACGTTACATTTTTAGTATCAGTTTTATCAAAGTTAATTTTTCTGGAAGGAAATATCAAAACCATTCAGTGTGCCCTCCAAATAAAGGCCTCAATTCTATTGAAACGAGATTTTGTTGGAGAGCGGAGTGCAAATTCACTATGGTATAGCCTCGTTTTGGTTTCATAGTAAACAGTGCAGCATGCCATCATTGATTTCAAAATGTAGTTCATTTGACAGACTGACAGCAGAGGTCGATTTATGAGAAACAATCCCAGAATTGTAGACTAAATGTATACAGACATAACTGTGAAGTTACCTACATCAACAAAGACTACGGATTCGTGGCGGATAGTCCGCCAAAACGTAGATTTCACCAAAACCGACAAAGGATGTACTCATCAAATGTTTGAATGAATGAATGAATACTGGCATGCATCAAAATTTACACGATATTCTTCAGAAATGCACAATCGTCTTGTTTATCGGCCTTGTCTTAGTAGACTGCCAGGACACAAATATAGCAAGTGTAACTTGCACAGAAAACGGCTGCAGTGGTAAGTTCCTGTGTCAGAAATTTATATTTCACTGTGTGTGTGTGTGTGTGTGTGTGTGTGTGTGAGTGTGTGTGTGTGTGTGTGTGTGTACACGTGTGTGTGTTAGCCCAAATATAACAGCCTTATTGAATTATCGGCTGTAGTATACATACGTATGCAAATGGTTTGTAGACTTTTGAAAGTGTTGATAAAATGGATGACACCTTATTGTCATTTTTCACCCATCATTATAATTCAGCAATTCAATTAAAACGTTGCAGCAGTTCAATATTAAATTCTTGCATTGAGTGATCAAACTGTACCTTTTGAACAGCAAAGTTTAAAGCATACAAGTACATGCATATGGTTTTCACATTTCACTCTGATTGTAGTATGTCAAGTAGACACAGCAAATATGTAATAACGAATACTAGAGTCCAGAGCTCTCAGATTTTGTGTCTGTGTGTGCATGGTTATATTTGTTTTAGTTGACATCTGGATCTTCCACATACTTACTGAGTATTATAGCTAGTACTTAGACCTTGAAAAACTGAGGCAAGTATGTATTTTTCTAGTAGCAGTATACACACAGGAAATGATAAGGCTGCATTGCCTTCCACAAGATTTAGGAAAGTAAAAAAAAAAAAAAAAAAAAAAAAACAAAAGCAAAAAGCTATATTTATGCAATATGTAGTTAAATTTTGAATTAGTTAGTTTCATTTATTACAAAATATGGCATTCAAAAGAAGACATAACAAAAGACAAAGTTGGGAGTTGAACTCTAATATATCACTTTTTCAATAGCAATATGAATTCTTTTTCAAAACTCTCTTGATATAGGCTACCTTTGATGATATGTTGATTACTCATTTCTTTACAATTGTGATGTAGCTGGCACTTGCTTATAAATGAAACCTGATGCTTCTCTTTCTTACTGTCTTTTTTCCCTTCTTTTCCGTCTCTTCCCATACATGTGTGTTTATCTTATTCAGTTGAAAGTCAGTTGTTCAGGTTGATATCCAAGCTAGATTGATTATCTTTGGAAACCTTTAGAAGGCATGATCTTTTCTTTAAATAGTTTAAGAAAGATGTCTTTTTCAGCAAATTCTATGTACTGTTTACTCAAGGTATTGGTTGGCAAGCCTCTAAAGGATTTTATCAATTTATCACCCTGTTGCATGCTCTGTGTTTGTCACTGGTTTAGTAATGAAAGGTATGAAGTCATGACATGAACACCTCTGAATCAGGATTGAGGAGTACCTTGGTAAATACTTGTTCCCATTCTTTGGAATCCAAGTTGATACTACTGAGAGAGAGAGAGAGAGAGAGAGAGAGAGAGAGAGAGAGAGAGAGAGAGAGAGAGACTTTTCACTGCCATCAATGCACAGTACCAATATCATGCAATAAAGGCTAATTAAGAAGCAACATCTGCAGGCAGTAGTACCCAAAGCAATATATCACCAAAAGGGTCAGATTTTTCCAGGAAGTATGATGGTAATGACAATAAAGATCAGAATGCAAATATTCCTTCTAGTAATAATAATTCACAACCTCCATTGTTCTGTGCAGTTGCCATTCACTTAATATCCAATTATTGATTTAGAACACCTGTCACCAGGTACCTCTGTATTCTCCTGAGACACACTAAAGAGGTGATTAAGGAGGTTATTGATATTCTACTGGGAGCTATTGCAATTATTGTTGTGTGTAAGCCTGTGTGTGTTGGTATTTCCAAGTGAAAAGAGAAATTTTCAATTTCCTTCCCATATGTCCTGAGTGAGTGAGAGATGAGACATGAACAAAAATGATAAAAAGTTTGAGATGATCACTGCTTTTAAGGATAAAATTAAAATTTTTCTCACAGTTACACTAACTGGGTGTAGAATGGCTATGTTGCCTTATTATTTTAGCATAAAGTATTAAAAAACAAGGAATCTTGTTATTCATTTCAATTATTTTTGATCATGTACTACTAGTATTGTATAATCTCCCAGTTAAATATTATAATTGGAAGTTAGTATAGATCTTGAAAATAAATAGCTATAATATTTCACCTGCCATTTTAAATTAATATCCATAATGACTCTACTGCTTCTGCTTTACATAGCTAATTCATGTGCCATTTTAAAATTAATATCTAAAACAACTCTACATGTTTCTGCTTTACAGGTACTCTAGGTGTGACTGCACAAGTAGTACATAGCAACAGCATTTACGCCACTAGTGAACCAGTATCCATAACAACTAACGAGAACAGTGTGTCACAGACAGAAACAACCACAGGTCAATATGTGCCACATTCTGCATCATATTATGAAGATTCTATATCAGTTGCATCAGCAGCAGTTTTATATTCAGTGTCATCATCATCATCATCTTCATCATTGCTATCTTCATTGTTATTGTCACACCAAATAGCATCTGCGTCGCAAAGCACAGATGTGTACCCCAGTGCAAGTGATACAACCATTGGTGCTCAGCAAACTAAGTCATTTTCAGAATCTATGCAAACTTACGCAGACTCAGCTTTTGTAACTCCTTCCGCAAAAAAGACTGCTACTTACTTATTCCAATCAGATGTCATGCCATCAAGCTTTTCACAAAATGGAGAGTCACTTGCAAACTTTCAATCTGCTACAAGTGGGTTTATAAGTGTTGAAGATTCAACTCTTTTACATCAAAGGGCTGCATCTGTGAAGACCTTTACAGACTTGAATCAAGCACTGACTTCTTCAAGTATCGAAACATCATATTTTTCACATTTTGCTTCAAGCATGACAGAAATGCTATCACAGGAAGTAACAGTTGCTACAACGGATGGGGTGGAGACATCACAAATTGCTCAAACAATGACATATTTTGCCATGTCAGTCGAAAGTGCCAATGCAGTAATATCAACATCAGGTGTAGTGGATGTTTCTACAAAGACCAGCAAAGATTTTAGTAGGACAATTGATACAGGACCAATTAATAGTGTCACAGACAATGTGACAGCTACCGTAGTAACCGTAATGCCAACATCCACATCATTAACAACCCAGTCAAACAGTGTTGGAGGTGAAAGCAATATAACAACAACAACAACTGCAGCTGTATTGTCAACATCGACAACAACACAGCCACAGAATCAGACTAATTCAAGCCTTGAAACAACAACAGGATTCACAATAAAAATAACTACAGAACTTTTTATGAATAGAACTGCATCATTAACATCTGAACCAAAAAATGTGACTCTTGGAAGCAATGAATCAACTACTATGGTGTCTATATTGTCAACAGCAGCAACAGCACAATTACAGAATCTGACAACTGGGAGCAGTACAACAACAGAGATTTCACTACAAAATACAACTGCAGCATTAACAACAGAATCAAGGAACATGACTGTAGGTAGTGATGGGTCAACAACAACAGTTTTGCCAGTGACCACACAATCTTCCAATGGCAGTAGTGATACAGCAACAAATGACATGCAAACAACCACAGAAGGAAATTCAGTTGTCGCAACATCAACTCAGTCATTGAATATCACTGTTAATAGTATTACACCAACAACTTTGCCCTCAAATACAACTGTTGGTAATGTAACACCAACAGCTGGCTTGATACTGGAAACAACAGAAGGAACTCGCAGTACAGCCATGATGTTAACAACACCAGGGACGGCAAATGCAGACAATGTTACAGTAGTAAGCAATGAAACATCTGGCCTTGAAACGACAACTGGCTTTAACCATGAAACTACAAAGGAGATCCAAAATGCATCTTCATTATTAACAGAAACACCAAATAAAATACAAAACACGACTGTTGCATCAACTGCAGCAACAACTGTTGGTTTGCAAACAACAAATGGAATGCAAAACACCACTGTAGCAACAACTTTTGGTTTAGCAACAACAAATGGAATGCAATATACTTCTGTAGCTGCAACAACAGAAACAACAACAGCTAGCTTAGAAACAACAAGTAGAATGCAAAATATTACTATAGCAGCAACAAAAGAAGCAACAACTGTTGGCACAGAAACAACAACTGTAACACAAAATACAACAGTGGCAGAAACACCCAAAGCAACAACTATTGTTTTAGAAACAACAGAGAGAATGCAAAATACTACTGTTGCAGCAACAACTGAAGTAACGACTTTTGGCACAGAAACAACTAATAGAATGCAAAATTCTACTAAAGCAGCAACTTCAGAAGCAACAACTGATGTTTCAGAAATAACAAATGGAACACAAAATATTACTGTAGCAGCAACAACTGAAGCAACAACAATTGGCAAAGAAACAACTAATAGAATGCAAAATTCTACTGTAGCAGCAACTGATGGTTTAGAAATAACAAATGGCACACAAAATGCTACTATTGCAGCAACAACCGAAGCAACAAGTGTTGGTTTACGAATGGATGGAACACAAAATACTACTGTAGCAGCAACAACTGGTAGTTTAGAAATTAGAAATTTAACACAAAATTCTACTGCAGCTGCAACTACGGAAACAACAACTGTTGGCTTAGAGACAACAAATAGAATGCTAAATACTACTGTTAAAACAATAACAGAAACAGCAACTTTTAGTATAGGAACAACAAATGGAATTCAAAATATTACTCTTACATCTACAACAGCAGAATCAACTGTAACACAAAATACTTCTGGAGCAGCAGTAACAGAAGCAACAACTGATGGTTTAAAAACAACAACTGTAACACAAAATACCACGGTAGCAGCAACAACAGGTGGTTTAAAAACAACAACTTTAAAACAAAATACTACTGTAGCAGCAACAACTGAGGGTTTAAAAACAACAACTGTGACACAAAATACCACTGTAGCAGCAACAACAGAAGCAACAACTGTTGGTTTAGAAACAACAACTGTGACACAAGATACCACTGTAGCAGCAACAACAGAAGCAACAACAGGTGGTTTAAAAACAACAACTGTGACACAAAATACCACTGTAGCAGCAACAACAGAAGCAACAACAGGTGGTTTAAAAACAACAACTGTGACACAAAATACCACTGTAGCAGCAACAACAGAAGCAACAACAGGTGGTTTAAAAACAACAACTGTGACACAAAATACCACTGTAGCAGCAACAACAGAAGCAACAACAGGTGGTTTAAAAACAACAACTGTGACACAAAATACCACTGTAGCAGCAACAACAGAAGCAACAACAGGTGGTTTAAAAACAACAACTGTGACACAAAATACCACTGTAGCAGCAACAACAGAAGCAACAACAGGTGGTTTAAAAACAACAACTGTGACACAAAATACCACTGTAGCAGCAACAACAGAAGCAACAACAGGTGGTTTAAAAACAACAACTGTGACACAAAATACCACTGTAGCAGCAACAACAGAAGCAACAACAGGTGGTTTAAAAACAACAACTGTGACACAAAATACCACTGTAGCAGCAACAACAGAAGCAACAACAGGTGGTTTAAAAACAACAACTGTGACACAAAATACCACTGTAGCAGCAACAACAGAAGCAACAACAGGTGGTTTAAAAACAACAACTGTGACACAAAATACCACTGTAGCAGCAACAACAGAAGCAACAACAGGTGGTTTAAAAACAACAACTGTGACACAAAATACCACTGTAGCAGCAACAACTGAGGGTTTAAAAACAACTGTGACACAAAATACCACTGTAGCAGCAACAGCAGAAGGATTGAAAACAACAACTTTAACACAAAATACTACTGTAGCAGCAACAACTGAGGGTTTAAAAACAACAACTGTGACACAAAATACCACTGTAGCAGCAACAACAGAAGCAACAACTGATGGTTTAGAAACAACAACTGTAACACAAAATACCACTGTAGCAGCAACAACTGGTGTTTTAGAAACAACAAGTAGGATCCAAAATACAACGTTAATGTTGACAACACCTACACAAACTCAGGCTACATCAGCTGTGAGGAATGAAACAACAGCAGCACAATTTACTGCACAAGCTGTAGCAACCACAACTACAGCATTAACAACAACAACAGTGTCAACAACAACTGTAAAATCAACAACTACCACTGGTTTGGTGTTATCCACTGCTTTAGTAATAGAAGAGGTGACTTTGAATACTACAGAAGAATTGAAAGAGTATTGGGTAGAAACAGGTAAGTTACTAGTCTGAAATTGCAATGTCAGTTTAGTTTTCAGTATGCAGCCTTTCTCATTTTTCCATTTCAATTTAGAAGTTTGTGTTTTCTTTTGGTTAAATAATTTATTCTGGTCATATTATGAGTTTGAGATATCTTACTTGTTCACAATATCTTAGTTTTTATGTTTTAACATTGACTTTTTGTCAAGCACCTGAAAGTTAATAACCTAATAACTTAAGTTTTTATTTATTTATTTATTTATTTATTTTTTTTTTTTTGTGTTTGATTTTTATAAAAATCACAGTCCAAAATTACAGTGTTAAAAATTTTTTTTTTATCCACACTTTCTTTTTGGTTCTTTTAGTGCTTTCAGTGCCAGAAAATATCAATGTGTCCACGTATGAGTTTAGAAATGACTTGGAAACAAAGCTATCCAGATTGTACTTTGATGCCTTCAAGAGGGAAGAGCAGATCAACAATGGCACATTTGTGTCAAAGGCTAGGAAAAAGCGAGCAGTGATGTACGAGGAAAATAACCAGAACCTCACAGTACAGGTATAATTGTCTTATTATTTAATATCATAAAAAGTAAATTGTTCCTAAAGAGACAAAGCTTGTTCTTCTACAGACGTGTGACAATGAAAGCCTGCTTCACCATATTATCTTTTAGTTCAAACAGTGATTGGAGTGGACTTATACTGGCATTTGCCACAAAATTATTTATTTTGACTTACCAAAACAAAAAATTAGTGATAGTAGAATTGTTGTGTGTGAAGTGATAGTCTTTCTATTATACCTGTAGTCTTTTGTGTGAATACCAGCAAAAATGTGACTTTTTAAACAGTGTGAAATGGATAAAAGTTATCACTATCATAAATAACTAGGTTATGTAATTTATCTTTTTGAAATGTTTTGTGCTATATCCCCTTTGTTGTTTCTAAAAAGGGGCGAAAGGCACTTTGATGCACTCTTTACTTTAATTATCGTAGGTGGGCAAAAATGGATGAAAGGAATTTTTGCACCACTCCTCATCCCCTTTCAATTTCTATGTACAGTTTATTTGTAAATGCTCCCCCTTTTATAACCGCCCACTTTTAAGACTCAAGCAGCTGAACTTAACAAAAATATATCAAGGAAATTGTAACTCACCTCCACTTGCATCCTAATATGTCTAAGCTTTTAGGTTTGTGTGCACAGAGCCGAGCAGTAATGGTGACCCAGAAAATGTTCTCTAAGTGACATTACATGATTTTTTTTTACATAGTACAGTTCAGCTTCACTGAGTTGACCTTAAGGAGAGCAATAGATGTTTACTTATTTTTTTATTGAGGTCATTTTCTCATTGACTCTTTACCTAGGTTATTGACATCAGCCGTGGGTCAGAGCAGCCAAGCAATGTGGATGTTGTTTACTACATGGAGAAGGATGGGTACCTTGTACCTGCACAGTCAGCTGTGAATGTTTTGAATCTCTACAGTGAGCAGGAGCTGGCTTTGCAATATTTCAACTACCTGGTTGTCTCCAAGGCTAAAGGTATGTGTTATTGTTGTCAGCAAAGAGGGAAAAAAACGTCCTGCTTTGAACAGTGTTGAAATTTCATCATTATGAGTAACATTACTACACAGATCAATTTTCATCAGAAATCACCTTGCTTTGTTCACCTTTGAAGTGATAGTCAAGGTGTTATCCTAACATTTATGAATCTCTCTTATGTGAGCTATTGATTACAGGTGGTTGTATTTCTAAGTGTCATACCCATAGGTTGTTGTATGAAAATAAAAAAAAGCAAATATCACCAAGACCTTCATGGAGACTGATTTCAATAATATATATGAGGTGGCGTGATCACTTGAAACTGTCACAGTGATGTGACCTGATCACTTGCAGCATGTATTTTCTGTAGCCAATACAATAATTAACTGACAGCACTAATGCATTTTACATGTGATTATTGCCATACATTTTTACATAGATATGCAAATAATCTCTAGTGACATCTAACTTACACAAGAATTTTAAAGGAATTTATTTAGTTTACATTAAATACAGCAATAGAGATGCATTTCACCAAATTAAAATTAAATTGTGAGACAAATTCATGTGTTGTCAATGCTTGTAACATGTTCTAAGTGAGGTAACACACCAATGTAATGTCTCAATGTAAACTGTTTAAATGTCACACAAAAATAGGTTACGAATGCATGCAGATGGAAAGACGATACCAGGAAACATTAATATTTTCTAGGGAGTCATGTAGACTGTATTGATCTGGAATGTGTTATCATTTATTTCCAGTATAAATACTTTATATATTCAGGTCTACTCTTCTTAACACTTGCCTTTGACTACAGAAAATAAAAACATAAAAACATGCCTGTATATATTTATCAATTTAAGAAAAAAAAAACCAAATCTTGTGTTATATGTTGGGATGTTTTCCCCCCAGACAAATTTCAGTTCAAACATAACTACAATATAACTATTACATTATTTTCCCAGTGTATGATCCTCCTGCAGTCATTGTACCAGACCCTCCCCAGTACTGGATCATAGGGGTAGTCGTGGGCAGCATTGTGGGCTTTGTCCTCATCGCCTGGCTCATCCTGTTTATCTACTTCAAGTGTGTCAAGCCTCCTGATCCAGGAAAAACACCACGAACTCCACGCAGCAGGCGGAGGCACTCCAGACAGCTCCACATTGGGGAGCCAGAGCTGATGGGAGTGAAGAAGCTCCACACTGCTGTAAGTATTTTGACTGAAAGAAATGTAAAAATCAGTGTAGTTATGTCATGATTTAAAAAAAAATTTATTTTTTTTTTTTTGAGGGGGGAGTGGAAATTCATCCTATTTCTATGTTATTTTGTCTAGATTATTTAATTTTACTTTAAAACCCATTACAAATCTCATTACTTACATGTGACATTTTTCCCTATTTTACCTTATAAAACCAAATCATTATCAAGCTTTGAGTAAGCTTTAATGTTCTTGAAAAATATTTTTTTTGACGAACCATGACTCTACAAGAAATGTTTACATGTAGGATCTCACCAGTGTCAAAACCAATGGATTCACTCAAATTGACAAAGAAACTGCCTCACAGAGAAGTGAACCACCCATGGTGGAACCACCCCCAAAAAGAAATTATCTCGAAAGGAAACCAGAAAGCCGTCCTTCTGACATTCCTCCTTTAGATCTCAATGGAATAGAGCAGGGTCCCTCAGAGGCTGTGTATGCTAATGTCAGCAGGCCACCCAGAAGACCTGTGCCAAAGAAACACAGGACACCACAGAAGTGAGGAATTATAATATTAAAATGATATGTTTATTGGGCACTGAATGCATATTCAGTTACATGTGCAGGCAAGGCTACAGTGTTTTATAAAAAAAAATTACTCCACATATTATGTAGAATGACATGACAAAATTAGTTTGACACAGTTATTAAGTGAAATAAACAAACACTGATAAGTACATGTTGAACAATTTGGACATGGTTTATAATAAAGAACTAATATAAAAACTTCAGTGAATATTGAATGAAACATGACATAGCTGTTGTACATAACACTGTGGCTTTTACACGAAAGAAAGTTTATGAATAGAGTTATATTGCTTTTTAAGTATTTCTCTTGCTTGAGGGATAACTTGATGTTAAGAGCTGTATGTTTTTTATTGGACTTATCCCATGTGATATATTTCTTTTAAACTTATTTGGTGTCAAATAACACAACAGTCATGTATACATTAAAATTTTTGCTATTCTTCAATTATATGTCAACCAGGATTGTGAAGATACTGTTTTTATGAAGACTGGGATGATTACTTATGCCCACTGATAACTTCTTTTGTTCCCTTATTATAGGGATGATGATGATGGATTAGCAAGTGACACACTTACACATGTATCAGAAGAATCAGAAGTGCCCAGAAGGAGAAAACCTCCCAAAAAACCTTCAAGAAAAAGAACTCCAAGAAGAGGCCAAGCAGGTAGTTAGTGACACAATAATGAATATGAATATCTGCCTTTCTTACCATAATTAGAACAAATGTAAAGAAAGAAAAAGTTCCATAGCATGTGTTGAAAGGATTGAAAGTGTTAAGTTGACACGTACATTAGATAAAAAAAAAATATTGAGCATTTGATGAAAATCTGTATTTGATATGGTAATTCCCCGTCAGCAACTCATCTACTTCATCTTTTAAAAGCTGTGTGGATTAAGTCTTCCATGCAGAAAAAAAAAACAGTGCTAGGTGCATAATTAAATGATGACATTGTGAAACCTTAATTGACCTTTGAACTAATTCCTTTTTTTTTCTAGCACCCACAGATTCTACCTTCCCTCAGCCGTCTCCTGAAGAACCTCCTGTGACTTATCGCTCTAGTCACCAGCTTAAACTGCCGCCACTCACACAGAAACCTTTGGTGGGACCGAGTCTTTATGATCAACTGCAGGAACAACAAAAGGTATTTGAAGACTAAAATATGTATCATTGGAGGTTACTTAGAATGAGCATGATTCCTTTGAATTGGAATGTCATTACATGTTCCTTTTCATGCACATTAGCCCTCACTCATTTGGTTGTGCATCTTGCAAGGGGAAGTAGTGTAGGATCCAAGGAAGGGGGGGGGGGGGGGGCTTGTATTCATTTATTACACATATTAATGCAAAAA